CCCGCCTTTAGGATTGGACACAAAGCCAAAGGAAGAGTAGTAGAGCTGAATTTGGTCAGACTGACCCCTGAGTCCTCCTGGCAAATACGGATGCCTTCTCCCACGCTTACGAGAACGAGAGCGGTTTCTGCTCAGGTGACGTTGCTTGAAAATCTGGTCCAGGTTTGCCTTGATGTTCTGAATAGGCTCAAACCAGTCGTTTGAAAGCGTCAGAGTGACCACACACAACCCAAAAGGTGGCTGAGAAGAAATGGAAGAATACAACGTGGATTGTCATATGGCTAAACAAATAAATCTGCAAAATATATACCGGTCAAAATTTGGAATAATTTGACCAAAATTAAAAACTGTAATATTGCGAAATATTTTTGCACATTTAAAGAACTGTTTTTTATTATTATTATTTCTATATATTTTAAAATGTAATTTATTTCTATGATGGCAAGGCTAAATTTTCAATAACATTACTCCAGTTTTCAGTGTCCTTATGAAATCATTCTAATATGCTGATTTTTAAAATACATTTCAAATTGCATTTTAAATATATTAAAATTCACAATATTACTGTTTTTACTGTATTTTTAATCAAATAAATGCAGACTTGGTGAGCATAAGATACTTTTTTCAAAAACAAAACTATTGAGTGTATGACAAATGCATATATTTGACCGTATATATATTTTAATATACAAAAATTTAATGTATATTTTCAATAAGTATTAGTTTACGTTTTTATACATATATTTTCATTTCCAGTCATTTTAATATCGTTTAAAAATCTAAATATATGCTGTCCTGACTGTATATATCCATATATACGTAATGTCTTCAACCAGCAGTACCTGAGTGATGCAGGAAGCTTTCTGTTCTTCTGTCTGTTTGAAAGCATGGAGAGTAACGCAGGTTCCTCTTTTAGCATCACCCCTCATATGAAACAGCACTTGCACCTTAAACCGCTCTCCTCTGTCACCCTCCTTCTCTTTCACGATGGTTTTAGAAAGCAGTGATGCAGTGAGAGATGGAGTCAGGGGAGGAATGGGTTCAGACATCACCTTGAGAAGAAAAGAAGTGATAGAACAGAATAAGTAATTTTCATCTTTTAAGTTGAGATAAAAGTCATTAACTGTAATCGAGACTGCAGTACCTGTGTGATGGTGTAGGAACCAAATGCAGCTCGGAGAAGAGGTTTGGAGGCTGTTCCAGATGGAGGAATGAGCAACAGGGACTGGGTGGAGGTGAAGGGGCTGGAGTTGGTGAAGAGAAGGCCCAGATCAGCCTGAGAGAGGGGGAGAGACTCCCATGGTGAGGGAACAGTGACCCGGACTGGAAGTGATGGGGAAGGGGGTGCCTGACAATGCGCTTTTGTTGGAGAAAATGGAGAGTTGAGCTATTAGTTTGTGGGATTAGTAACAATTGCGTTATCATTTAAGCACCGGTCTCTCATATTAACAGCAACATAAAAATTGGATTTACAAGATTTAAATAAATTCAAACTTGGTCTGAGAAACTTCACAAGAATTTCAACCTTTTTTGCAGTGGAATATTCTATGGATGTTATAGGTTCTTTGTGGAACCATAGATGCCAAAAAAGAACCTTAATTTTTAAGTGTTTATGCAGTGTTTTGGGGAGAGTATAAAAAAAGTCAAACTTACAGAAGATCATGAATAACTGAAGGGTTACCAGTCTCATAGTAGAAGACTTCCATTTGAGTCCAGAAAGACTCAGCACATCCATAACACCCTGTAACAATAAATTCTTCTTGTAGTCAATATAAATGTTGTTGTTATTCAATTTTTCTATTGAAACAAATCTATTAAAGGAATAGTTCACCCCCAAAAAATTAACATTTGTTGAAAATTCACTCACCTTCAGGCCATCCAAGATATAAACGAGTTTCTTCATAAGAACAGATTTGGAGAAATTTAGCTTCCCTTGCTCACCAATGGATCCTCTGCAGTGAATGGGTGCCGCCAGGGTGAGAGTTCAAACAGGTGAAAAAAAACATCACAGTAATTCACATGACTCCAGTCCATCAGTGAATGTCTTGTGAAGTGAAAAGCTGTGTTTGCAAGAACAAATCCATCATCAAGGCATTTTAACTTTAAACCATTGCTTTTGGCCAAAATCCATAAATCCTTAATCCATAGTAATGCTTCCTCCAGTGGAAAAGTCTATCAACTGTTCTATAGTTTTTTATCTACAGCTGTTTTCACTCGAGAATAGACCTTGATCTGTGGATATTTCTCTCCTGATTCAGATGAGGTGACTTTTTCACTGGAGAAAGCAATGTAATGGATTAAGGATTCGTTTAGCTGGATGCAACAGTTTGAAGTTAAAAACATCTTGATGGATTTGTTTCTTACAAACACGCAGCTTTTTGCTTCACAAGACATTAAATGACAGACTGTTGTTGTGGATTATATTTGTGAATTATTGTGATGTATTTATTTGCATTTTTGACTCTCATTCTGATGGCACCCATACACTGCAGAGATTAATATGGAAGTGTAATGCTAAATTTATCCAAATCTGTTCCAATGAAGGATGAGCTAAGGGAGGTTCATTTTCCAGCAAATTTTCATTTTGGGGTGAACTATTCCTTATAATATTATCCATTACAATACACATAAAAAAAACCACTCGTTTCAAATACTCAAATTTTTAAATTACAAAAAGTGACGGTAATATAAGTTCACATAAAATAAGATTAAAAAAAAAACGTTTTTAAATTAATATATATATATATATATATATATATATATATATATATATATGACACTACAGCATTTCCAAAAAGTTTGTACTTGCCTCAACGGTCCTTTCAGATTTTCAGATGTGCAAAACCGAAAGTAAGGTATCACTCTTCTCTCACAAACATGCTCAGCCCAATGTGTGAGTTTCATCAATCCATCTTCTGTCAGGATACTTGCTTCTGTGCTTTGGAAGTTTTGTTTTAGTTTTGCAAATATAAAAACACTCCAAGTTAAGATAGTAGTATTTAGAAGTATCCAAATGATCTTAAAATCCCCCTGTCCTTATTTTCGTCTGTTGTTTCTCTCTTTTTTGTCATTTGTAGCTCTGCACTGTTTCGGTCTGTCACTCTCTCTGTCCCTCTTTGGCTGGTGTGCTGGATTCACACAATACGGATTTATTCATTAAAAATGGTAAATAATCCTCTCTCTCCCTCTTTCCCTCAGATCTCCCCCTCCCCCTTTTTTCTCTCTTCATTTCTTGGATATTCTGTCTGACCAAAGATAGTTGACGTCCTTCCAAGAAACTCCTGGTAATTCTTGAAACCCACTTCCTCTATCTTTTAATCTCGCTTTCTCTCTCTCGCTGGGTTCTCTACACTTCTGTTCACTATAATTAAACATGTAGAATTTATGTTGTCACAAATGGACGAGTTTCTGCACATACATTAAAGTAATGTTATCTCAATGCTTTTAATGTTTAATTTCAGTGGCTTAATGATTAGTAGTACATGAGGGAGAAATGCTGCAGATGCCGGCATTAAAGGCAAAATCCTATTAGCAAGAATGAGGGCATTATGCATCTGAAAAATAAAAGTATTTAATCACACCGCTGTCTCTTTTTCCATCTAATCTTTCTCTGCTTTCTTGACCACGGAGAATATCTAAAGACATAAAATCTAAATGTATTATATGATAACTCTTTCCCACGCCCTTATCCCCATTTATTATCGTTCTCAATGACTTCTCTCTTAGTCATATCTTGAAAAATGAACAAATCTGCTGAATTTTCAAACTTTACACTTTTATAAGCATCAACTCAATTCATTTGCTCAGATAGATATGGACAAAAAAATATATTCACAAGGGCATCAATTACATATTTATTTATTTTTGGTGGAGGGGGGGGGGCTTTTATAATTCACCTTTTGTACAATTGATTGAACTGTTAAAATAATAAAGCAAAAGCTGGTATGAGGAATTTTAATGCAAAAGATTTATCCGAAGATTTACATGAAAACAGACTGTATGCAGGTAACAAGTAGGTTTCATGTCAGTGTCACAAGTGTTTTGTTGGAAATGACGGCTGGATGCACTAGATATTTTATCCAGTGTGGTCTCTCAGTTAATCTGTGGATGTAATCTGTTGTCATCTGTCATTGTTCTCTGCTGGAACCTCATTTAAACTACAGATTTAATCCTTCACTCTGACCTGAGGATGAGGAGGAGACGACACTTATCCACCCACCACACACACAACACACATTCTCCCCCGAAACCCGCTGTTGCGTTTGTTCTCTCGGCTGTGTATTTGTTCTCATATATGAAGAGAGACTAAAGCAGCTGCAAAGACAAAGCCACATAACAACAACAAAAAAAAATGAACAGAACTGAAACAACTATCTTGAACTGCTGTGCATGCAAACACACGGAGAGATATAGAAAGGTTTAGGCAGAAACCCACCAAGCTTTTTAACTGTCTCTCTCACTGGTGCACTTAGAAAGAGAGTTTTACTTAGCTACCATCAGTCAGGCGAGACATAAGATTTTAAGCTGTTGTGATATTAAACCCTCTATGAGTGCAGTATTAAATAATCAACTGGGTCAGAGAGAGAGAGATGAGAAAATATTAAAAGGAAAGAAAGAAAGAAAGAAAGAAAGAAAAAAGAAAGAAAAAGAAAGAAAGACAAAGAAACCAACCAAAAAGAATGAGCACATTGAGTCTACAGTATATTTAGAGCATGAGCGACAGAAATAACACAAACAGGAAGTTAATAGAATTACGAAAGGAAACCACATTGCTGCAAAATTCTGCATTAACACCACATTCCCTCTCCCAACCTTAACTTCACTTCCATGCCACCTCAGAAGACATTTCTCATCTAAGCTCCAACATAACCATGCTTATATATTTATTATGCATTGCTCTACTAGTTTACTCCCAGTTTTATTCTGATTCTGCACCCAAGTCAAAAGTCACGGAAGATCTGAATGATTGCCTTTTTCGTTTATTTAAAATTATTCACACTCCAACTCAAAAATCAATCACTTGCATAAATAAACATGTTTTAAAAAGCCATCATCTTTCAGAACATGAGCGAAATCCCATTTTGTTTCTGACTATTTAAAAACAATACCAAAAGAAACACAGCAAATCAAATCAAGCAAATCATAGCATTAAACAATGAATAATTAATAAAAGGAAGCCTGCTATGCTATACCAAGTAAGCGCGTTTGTGCTTATGTTGAGACTAAATTATTATTTTTATTTTATCCTAAATGAATTTCTCAGCTATATTTTTCAAAGATATTTACAGCTTTCTTGACTTGCCAAACAACCAAAGCCGTGTAATGTAAAACAATCTGCTGATTGTAGATGACGAGGGTTGTGCTTAGGGTCAGTAAGTCTTTTGTGAGCACAGGCCTTCAGCTGTATGAGTCATAGTCACTGTTTCTGTTGGATGAGGGCTCTCTGCTCTGGTTTACCGTCAGCCTCTCCAAACCTGACAACACAGACAAATTATAATGGGTACCAGTGTGTGCATGCCGCTTTTCACGTACAGAGCCTGAAACACCCCAGCTGAACTAACAGACATCACCATACTTCCCCAGTTTCTTGATCATATAAAGAATTGCAAAACAATTTTTGTATTACAAGTTTTCTGAAAAGTTACATTCATGGCATTATCTAATTAAATAGGCAATAACTTGCATTCATTTCTAGAACAGAAATTTGAACACTGGGTAAAGCCAGGTTCGAAATTCCTTTTCGTTTTGGTGACAAATTAGAGTCAAATGTAGAAAGAAAAGAAAAAAAGTCATTTTGAGAAAATAGCCTTTAATACGTGTATCGTAACTGAAATCTACAAACACAAATACCTAAAGGGCAATAAAAATAATTGGGAGACTTGTTTTATTTCCACTAGTCAAAAAGAAGACATGTCCTGAAAATCTCAAATCAAGTGGTCAGAATTCATTAACCTCAGGGACCGAACTAAATATGCAACTAAATATTGTATGAGCTGTTTTACTTTCTATTCAATGTATAATTATGGTTTCAAATTTCTGCAAAATTGTTACCAAAAACAAAAACGTTGACTTTTTTCATTTTTATTTTATTTGCATTTAGCATTAAATATATATATTTAAAAAAATAGATAAATAACTTAAAAATGACATAAAACAAATAGGTAATTCCAAATTAGCCTAAATGTATCCCTATCACCACAAAGTAGGAGGTAGATAATTTGGGACAAAATGCTGTTTCGAGCAATTTTGCCTAAATAATTGACCTAAATAATTATAGATTGTCAAAATGATGACATTATTGCATAATCTTAATTGTTGTATATAGTCGAGACGGTCAAAATTGATGATGATTTAGATAATTACATGCAAAGTTGATTTTATAATAGTTTAATCTTACATATCCAAATAGATCTCGCAACCACACACATGTGATTTGTATTGCTGAGCCGTTTGAATGAAAAGTCCAATACATCATAACACTCAATTCATCATTATGTAATTGAGAACAAAGGTGATGAGCAGGAATGCGAGTGAGAGATTAATAGAAAGAGAGCAGAACGGTCAGGATAAAGAGAAAGAAGGCGATTACTCACCAGGAAAGGACTGTCTCTTGTCTGTGTTTTTGTTTGGGGGTCCTTGACCTCTGTGATAGCACACTTTGAAAAGAAAGATAAAATACTGAATCTTTTCTGAGCAGCCAGTCATGAACGTGTGAATGTGTGAAATGATGACTCACCGCTCTGAGTCGGGCCGACCCAGCGATTCTGACGTTTTTGTGAAACTGCATTAAACCAGGTAAAAATAGTCAAATTAGACACAGCATTTAATTTTGATTTAAAAAAAAATCTGTGGCAAAGTGTGCGAGTCAAATAGTGCTTTTTAACTATATAGTGCCATATGTTGACGTGCTGATTTTAGATGTCATTACACAAGTGAGAAGCAAACACCTGAGAGCACTAGTGAAAATGCTTTTACAAATTATATTGTCAGCTAAACAAATTTGAGTGAAAGACTGAATTTGAAAATTAACATGAATTTGACTTTTTTTTTAGTCTTGAGCTGCATGAACTTTTGTGCTTAAATGGAAGCAGATCATCAGACCATCTGTACAAGTTCACATGATAAATCACTTATACTTGATATGTGACCTAGAAAAAGTGCAGAATCTGAAATGTTTCTTCTTCATTCTTCATCATCATAATAATAAAAAAAAATAAAAAAAATAAAAAAAATTTGGAGTTTGGATGCAGGTGTAATTTTGGGTTGTACTAAACAACTCTAAGCAAACACAGAGACATTTTGATGGTGCCATGTGCTTAAATTCATAAGCATTTACAGTTTTAGATGTAATATGAAATTAAAGTCGTGCTTGTTGACTTCACTGACTCACATCTTTTGCGGATGGCTTTGTACGTGGGCCGACTGAACTGAACCAGAATGACACCCAAGATCAAGAAAATTAATATGCCAGTTACTGCTTTATAAGCAGCCAACTCTGTTCCTAGAGGATCTGAAAAACAGAATATAATGTGGGGGGACAGAATATAATGTGTTATTCAAAATGTACAGCATACTAAACAGAGTCATGAAACCTGATAAGAAACAAAAACATCAAGAGAAACATTTCAGCATACCGAGTCATATATAAACTGTTCTCTGAAAATAAACACATACACACACACCTTGGCACATGATGCGCAGGCCGTTGCACTTAGTAGTATCGATGAATGTCATATTTGTTGTGAGCTTGAAACCTTTAGCGTGGCTTGAAGTGTGCATAAAGCCCTTGAAGTCTCCACATCTTCTGTCCTTACACACTTCAGTCCACCAGCTGGCTGAGATGTCGCTGCTAGAGCACAAAGGCCCTTGACGCTCACGAGAATACACATACAGCTGACCTTCACATGGACTGACCTTCCATATAACCTTCAGCCGGAACAGATCAGATTTAGTAATATATTCTATGATTTTCGGACATGTGGCCCATAGGGTAGTGGAGGTTGTAGCACTAGTGGGTCGTGGGGTTGAGGGGGTTGAGATGTTGTTCGAGGACTGAGCTGAGATTCCTTCTGTAAAGGGAAAAAGCTCATAGACATAAGTTACTTTCATGTTGGAATATCACAATCCATTTTCCTCCACATAAAATGTGCAGTTCAAGTTCAAGTATCAAATGTAAATGAAATGAGAGTTACAGCAAGAAACTGTTAGCGTTTGCTGACTGCTGTTCTGTGCTCTTAATTTATTACATTGCAACTCACATGAAGACATCGCTGCCGTTTTTGATAGAGTGTCACCAATATTCTCCATCTCAATACCATATTCTGTTTTAAGAACTCCACATCTTCATGTAATATTTTCTATGTAAAATATTGCATATGCACTGCATTATTCAAGCATAAAAACGCCCCGGTTACTGAGGTCAGAGAGCAAATAGCTGGATCATTTGCACTCATTTTACACTCTTGCACTTTTTGCACAGCGCTCGAAGGCATTCGCACATATTTTGCACATTTGATTGCAAGATTGCACTTTGCAAACAGATGGACATTCATAAAATTCTAAATCACGGCGTAAATGGATCTATAATTTGGATTACCAAAATTAACCATAATGATTTTATACATATAATTACGTTTACATTATGGTTATGTGAGTGGAGTGGAATGAGCGGAAAAACTTTTCAAATGCTTAAAACGTATTTACATGTTTAAACTGTGAATCACGGCGTAAATGGATCTATAATTTGGATTACCAAAATTAACCATAATGATTTTATACATATAATTACGTTTACATTATGGTTATGTGAGTGGAGTGGAATGGAATGAGCGGAAAAACTTTTCAAATGCTTAAAACGTATTTACATGTTTAAACTGTCTATTTATATAATTATATTCAAACAAATACTATTATATATAAATTTGAAAATTCTTGAATTCTAATGTACTAAGTCTGTGTTTGTTCACAACAACATTCTTTGACAACATACATTTTGTGTAATACAGGTGGCATTTATATGATTTTCACATTTCAGTGCTTAATATTTAAGAAAGTGTCCTTGTTGATAAACCATTTACATTTATTTTTGATGGAAAACAAAAATATATTAAAAGCTCATTCATTAATTCTGGGGTTAAATATGTTAAATGGTAGTTAACGCATATTCCTTTGAAAATTGCTTCCCGTGGTTTTGTTTACGTTTTCTCATTCTTTAAAATGCAAATGGCAAAATGATTAATCTAGCAGACAAAAGACCAGCAGAAAAAGTAATTTCCCTTTTTAACAGTATGCAATGTAAATAAAAAAAATTCCACCCCCCCCCCTAATTTTTTTTTATCTTTATGGCATAATGTGGGATAAAATAATACCATTATACATGTAAACGACAACTTTTTAACAGTTTCTACTCCCTTATGATTGTTGCATGCAGCTTATCTGTTAAACACAAAGAAAAAAATCTAAAATATCTACTTGATCTATAATAAAGAAATGTGTAAAAAGAGTTATTGCAAGGTTGACCGATTTACTGAATTCACCTCATTAGATGGATAGCTTGCAACAACGTTCAAATATTTGCGCTGACATCAGTTTCCAGTAAAGGGAGTTCAAAGTAAGAATTTGAAAAATGAACAACAATCTATACAAGCATATGACATATTTTATTGACAACTGCTCTCATTTTTGTAATGCGTTCTTGCGGACCCTAAAGTTGTGAAGTTGTGATTTTATGATATGATGGTATTCATTATTGCTCTTCATTTATAATGCAAAACACAATGTTTTGCATTCTAAACGTTCTTCAATATAACATACAATACTGTGACTGAATGCATCGGAATAAATTCTAGCTGCGTGCTATTGTTCCTTGCTCGGGTTTGTCTTACTAGAGAAATATTAGATCGGACAGATAAAAATCTATCTGTACATCTACAACTCACTAAAGATATTTTCTTCAAGTGGTAAAGTTTCAGATGCAGAGCAGATCCATGTACATATAATCATACAAAAATGCAACAATGAAGTATATTTAAAGAACAAACAATTTACTTACGAACTCCAAGGAGCAGGAGCACCGTAAGAGTCATCAGCAGAGCGTTTTCCATCTGGCAAAAGGTTTGCCAAACATTTAAAGCAAAATTTAACTTCATTTGACTAAACAAAGTGACTATATACACTTCAAAAGATAACAGGCCTAGAGGTCAAATAAATGACCTCTGGTACATCACAAGCAAAGCTGTTTTTTTATTATTATCTAATAGGGCCTCGGCTCAACTAGAATGTTTCATTTAGTTTTTATGTGGTTCAGATAAAGCAAACAAATACGCAACCATGGCCGTATTAAAATATTTGGCCTGCACTTTTTTAACAGAATGCCAGAGACCAATCTTACCGTGACTTGAACCACAATAAGAACAAATCATTCACTACAGTGACATACAGTAATACATTTGTCAATACAAACTGGACTTCCTTTTAAGTTATTTAAGAAATGCTACATTATGTCTCGTTTGTAACTGACAGCTGTCTTCACATCTCCGCTTCAGCAGTGTTTGAAGATTTTCTTCTTCAAAGAGTGTCAAACATCAATGAAACACCACAACTTCTAACCAGCTTTTTAACAATATATCATCAGATCTTACCTTGCCTGTGACTGACAAGAACAAATGTGTGGAGCAAGTGCAAGAAAAATGAAGTGAAAGGAAATAAGCAGAGGTGTGGAGCTACAATCTTTAATTCTCCGCCCTCATCCTCTGTCTCTCCATATAGAGCGTGTCTTTTAATCTCAAGCGCTGTTTGATTGCACATTGCACTGCTTCCTCACTTCAAAGAGAGCTGCACACAAAAAAAATGAAGAAAAGCTTGAAAAAAAAAAATGTTAGTGTAGGTAAGTGGGAGGAGAAAAGTACTAATGTGACATTGTCTAACTTTGTATCAAATGTAAAAAAAAAAAAAAATTATTTACATTTTTAAAAATGTAATGTTCAAATTTAAAAGTTGGTGGTAAAACTTGGTAAAATTGGGTGAGATTATCTTTTCATCTAAAACTTAAAGATGGTTGGAAGTAAACAATAAAGCAACAAAAAATCTGCATATTCAAAATCTTTGTCACTGCATACAGGAACTGAGTCTCTTGTGGTGTACGGCGCACTCTCGCAAGTTGCTCAAAGATGATTAATCGTGCTCACAGGAATAAACTGCGGCAATCATTACGGCTACAAAACCACCGATATCCACATCTATCCTTTCATTTCACTGTTACTCATATCTTCTTTTCATTCAATCTTTCCCAGCCGCCTCTTTCCCTCCCTCACTCTCTCGATTTTTCTCAGGTGTCGCATGTTAGTGTAGGTAAGTGGGAGGAGAAAAGTACTAATGTGACATTGTCTAACTTTGTATCAAATGTAAAAAAAAAAAAAAATTATTTACATTTTTAAAAATGTAATGTTCAAATTTAAAAGTTGGTGGTAAAACTTGGTAAAATTGGGTGAGATTATCTTTTCATCTAAAACTTAAAGATGGTTGGAAGTAAACAATAAAGCAACAAAAAATCTGCATATTCAAAATCTTTGTCACTGCATACAGGAACTGAGTCTCTTGTGGTGTACGGCGCACTCTCGCAAGTTGCTCAAAGATGATTAATCGTGCTCACAGGAATAAACTGCGGCAATCATTACGGCTACAAAACCACCGATATCCACATCTATCCTTTCATTTCACTGTTACTCATATCTTCTTTTCATTCAATCTTTCCCAGCCGCCTCTTTCCCTCCCTCACTCTCTCGATTTTTCTCAGGTGTCGCCGGGGTTGGTTTACCATATCGTACAGTCGCAGAGAGAGCCGTAAAGACTGGGTTTTATACCTGTACCAAAAAATTCCCCCAACACCCTCTTGAAACTCTCGGCTATGATTCAATATGAACGGAATTTAAACAGCCTTCAAAAGTGAGTCAATGAGCTCAACTACCACTGCTTTTCTTGTAAATTTGTGAAAACATTGGGATTGTACTGTAAAAGAAAAGAAACACACATTTATATGTTTGGGGTCGGTACATTTTTTTGAAAAACATTCTTATGCTCACCCAGGCTGCATTTTTTAAATCAAAAATACAGTACAAACATTAATATTGTGAAATACTATTAAAAAAACTTTTTTTTATATATGAATATATTTTAAAATGTCATTTATTTCTGTGACGGCAAAGCTGAATTTTTAGCAGCCATTAATCCAGTCTTTAGTGTCACTCACATGAGCCTCCAGAAATAATTCTGATTTGGAGTTCAAGTAACATTTTTAATATTATTATCAGTGTTGAACATATTATCAATGTATTGCTGCTTAATGTTTTGTAAAAACTGTGATACATTTTTTTATGAATCGAAAGGTCAAAAGAACAGCATCTTTTTGAAATAGAAATCTTTTGTAACATTGTCTTTACTGTCACCTTTGATCGATGTGTTGAATAAAAGTATTTAATTCACTAAAAAAAAATAAAAATAAGAGTCAGAAAAAAAGCCAGTTATTCCAATCAACACAGAAATTGTAGATCAACTTCAGTGTTTAATATTCACACCCGAAAAAAAGGACAATAAAAATAAAAAGACACTTTTAACAGGTTACAGTCATCACAAACAATGCAATTGAATTTATTTTCCTCTAATGCTGCAAATCAATGTGCTAATACAATTTTCATCCCATTTTTTTTTCTCTCATCCTCGTGTCGTATCACCCCTCTCCCTCGCTCCAGGTGCTGGGGAGGGAACCTAAACGTGGGGGTTTTGCAACAAACCTGAGTCTTAATTACTGAGTTCATGAATTAAGATAAAGCCACCTGAGGCTTGATTGAGGACGCCTCTGGTTTTGAATTGCTTTAAAGTACAAAAATAAAGAGACCCCACACGCCTATTCTAAAGCTGACGGTTCGAAGGCCCCACTCCCAGCTCCTGTTGCCAAAGAGTTCGGGGCGGTTAGTGTGGAGTGCTAGTGTGATTCACATGGTCCTCCGGTTGTCCAACAAGGAGACCTCAAATAGATGGTGCTTTTACAGATCTACATAACACCACATAATGACACGCACAGGCCGTTTGGATGGATGGGCCTACAGCTGTGGGCTAGTGAGAGTATTCATGTGGCAGAATCTAAAGGTGGACTCAAATCAAACCACAAAATGAAGCATTCTGATGGTTAACCGGCTCCAATCCCACCCATGTTATGATTCTGAGGGCAATGTGCCACTGAAACAAACTGGGCGGCTAGCTGTACAAGACCATCAAATGTCTCATTGTGTCTAAATTCAGTGTAAAATATGCAGCCAGGCATTCATCTGCATAGTTTTACCACAAAAGAATGCTATATTTTCTAAAGTAAGCATGTTATGTAGCACCTATATTCTTTGCATATGCTCTGTGCTATGTTATGCCTCAACTGCCCCACCAAATCCTGTGCTATAGCAGATAGATATGTCTATATTAATAATCCCTTGTCCTCCGGTTTCCCTTTAATATCAGTTTGATTTGTTAAGTATACCGTCCCTACTAGAGAACTTACAGCAATAGTCTATTCCTTTTAATCATTGTCAAGCGGTGTATTAAATAAATGGAGTGGAAGGGTGTGAAAGAAAAAAAGAGGGAGCAAAAGAGGTATCGAGAAGGTTTGGAGTGATCAGATGGCGCATTGGTACACTAAGCATTCATAACAGGACGCACCGCACCCACATCTGCACACGTGGAAGTTGTCTAAATTTATTCATGAAAAAGAATACGCTCTGCTTTTTTAAGGAGTTTTCATCTGTGATGGAGTGGAAAATGGTGCTGTGCTTTCTGGTGTTGATATAGACAAGAGATTAGCCTAATGCTAACGTAACGCTTCCATGTAGTGTGGCGTATTTGTCTCGGTACAATTTTGACAGAATGATCGGGGGGAAAAAACAGCCAAATAAGGCTGAGCTGTAACACAATGTCATCAAAAAAAAAAGCATTTCGTCATTGAATATAATAATAAATCAGAGATTTTGCAAACTGATAACATGCTTTAAAATGGAGAGGAACTGAGCCGTTTAAACTGGGCGGCCCGTATTGAGTCTCTGACTGAGGTCTCATGGGGGAAACAAGCGCACGCTCGATCTCAAGTGTCTTTATAAGCCTCAGACAGGAACAGGATGTGACATGGGTACACAAACCACAAATCTGAGGGGAAGGAAAAGGCAGAGCAGGTGGAGAAAGGTGGGAGAGAGACGAGAGGGAGGATCATGAGAAAAAGAGAAAGACAGACACACACAGAGTGGCTCAGGAGTACGGTTGTGGTACCCCAAAACCGGGCCTATAAAGTGGTCTAGCTGTGGGTGATTGGGTTGATGGGCCATTGGGGCCTGTAGGGTAGTTGTACCCTCCATAAGCATATGGAGCAGGGTACGGGGCGGCCGTGGGACCAAACTGCCCAAACGGTGGGGCAGGAAATGGTGGTTGGGTGGGGTACGGGCAATTGGGGGGACCAAACGCAGGCCTGGGAGCTGTGTAGCCTGTCGATGGAGGGAAGGGGGTACCCTGGCTGGGGTAGGGCTGAAATGCTGTGCTAGGGTTAGTGGTGCCCGCTGTGGAGGCAGAGGGGGGAGCAACGGGGTAGGGGGTGTAGGGCAGAGCAGAAGTGGCGGCATTGGAGGGTGCACTGATTTTGGAGCTCTGCTGCTGTTGAGGCTGCGGTTGTTGCCACTGCGATGATGATCCAGCATCCTGATTGGCACCGGTTTGTGATGTCACTGTAGCATCTCCTATCCCTTTGCTTTTTAGGCTGAGAATTTCTTGCAGCTTTTCGATGCGCACTCGTCTCGTGTGAGCGAGAGAGCGGAGGGAAAGGAAGCGTTCGAGGAAGGAGTCCAGCGATATCGAACCTTCGAGAAACTCGTCTGCTAAAACCTGAGGGAAAGAGATTGAGTGATTTACAAATCCTGTGGGGTTGGTAACACCATAAAAGTTTTAGAATATTATATAATGCTTAGGAGATCAGTAGTTCACAAGTCTTTAAATATGAATATACACCACCATTCAAACACTAAGTATTTTTTAAATAAACTGTCATTTTTATTCACCTTAGAAACATCAAATTAAACATACTTTTTGCAAAGCATTCTATTTCTATTTACAAAAAAAATATTTGCAAGATCTCGGTTCAAAGAATCCGTTTAAGGATTGCATAAGATTTTCTTAGTAGACTAGAGTAATAACTGCTTAGACTATTTGATGGCTTTGCCAGGACAGTTAAAGTAGTAATTTTAAAATATTATATCATTCATAATTGGATTATAATTACTTTCAGTTACAATCACTTATATTATTATTAAATTACTATTTTGATTAGATTAAATTAAATGCTACACTGGTGAACAGAAGGATACATTTTTTTTTATTTTGATCCCCTTTCTTTATATAGTCATGTTAAAATTAGGGCTGTGTATCACCAGCAAAGTCACGATACGATACGTATCACGATACAGAGGCCACGATACGATACGTATCACGATACGGGACTGCACTGAATTTCGCCTCAGCAGAATTTAGTAAAACAGCCGTTTATTAAACACTGCATACTATAGTGCCATTTCTAACTATTGGCAGAGCAGGTAGTTGACCTCTGCATTATGAAGGACCTCCATAACTGTACCACAGTACAATATAGGTAATGGCATATGTTTCATGTTTACATTGGGCAC